TATGGTATTTTTGTTTTAGAAACTATTAGCATATCTTTTTTTTATTTGAAAAAATATTTTGTTAAGTTGAAATAATTAGAAGACAAAAGCATTATAATATATTAAAATTATATTTTCTTTGTAAATAACTTTCATGTTTTATTAATTTTAAGTTTTTAGTAGATTCAACTGCACTATACCTGAAACTTAAACACTGATCTAATATAGTTCAATCATATATTAGCTAAATAGTTCAACCATATATTAGCTAAACAGTTCAATCATATATTAGCTAAATAGCCCAATCATATATTAGCTATTTTTATCGTAATATAAAAGAATAACTTATACTTGCATTAAAAAATAGCATAATAGAAACAGTAGGATGAAGCAGTGAAGAAGTAATGATAAAATTCAACAAAATTACTTCTTGACAAAAAAAATTTTAGCAATTTGATAAAAAGATCACCTTAAGCATTGTTCCCTCAAGCAACACACTACAATGTTATTCAGTTTACAAATTTCTTTAAGTTATAATAGAGTTTTATATTTTGAATATGCTAATTTTGCTAATGTATTCAAGTACTGGACATTTTAGTTAAATGTAAGGTCGACAGTTTTTGATTCATTTCAAACTGTAGTAAAAAAGAAACTGTTCGAGAATGGTTTTTGGATATTCTGTAACGTTGTACATTATAACTTCGCTAGATTGCAGATTGATTTAATTTCTAAATAATATTCCTTACTTAATTGTTACACTTTTTATACATCTCATATATGAATTCAATTTTGATAATAAGTATTTCTCATTTTTTCCACGTAAACTTCACGTCAACATTCACGACATACTGGCAAATTATTTTTTCAATGTTTAGAAATGAAGATTAAAAGTGTGTGATAACATTTTTGAGGTATATTTAGAAAGGAAAATCGACTAGAAAGTTTCAAAGAAGTACTCAAGAACGTTTGTTGCGATACATCTTACGTCGTAAGCAGTGCTATATTTTACTGTTGATAGAAGGGGCATTATCTCTGATACTGATAGCATTATCATTATCTGTTTTAAGTGGTACTCACCTGCAAAAGGTATTTTTATTTCATATTTAAAATTTATTCTGCAAATCATAATTCTGCAAAATGTCGTAAAAATTTTTATTTATTGACTGCATTGATAATAAAGTATGGTATGCTTGATTTTTGATAATATTTTAAAGTTTATTTAAAGTTTTTTTTGAAAGTTTTATTTTTTAGCTTTAGCTGAAGCTTTAATGAATTTTCTTCCACATGTTCATTGTCTTCTTGTTTCAAGCTTAATACTTTGACCTTTGTGTCTTCTTGCTGAAAGATTAGCTAGAAAGTAACTAAGTTCATGCTTTTAACTAACTTTATGCTGACCAGATATTTAAAATCAAGGACACTGGATTAACTAACAATTATACCAATACTTAATTATATTAATACTAAAACAGCACTTATTTTTTATGTTTATTTAAATGGCATGTAAATAATTGGCAATTTATTTTGATAAAATGTGTTAGTTATTTTACAAACCTAATTATTATATTAATACTATACTAAATTTTTATTGTCATTTGTATTATTCTGCAAAGGCATTCAAAAGTCGTTGTAGAAGAAGAATGAAAAGATAAGAAGGGATAATGACTGGAAACGAAGTGAACAACTGAAGTTCAATTTCCACAAATGTGAATATGAACCTATATGGGAGCACGCAAAGCAAATGAACTACGTACGTTGTGTTTGAACTTTGTAATCCTTTAAATTTTATTAAATTATATAATTTTTATAAAAATTATGCTTTGTGCAATTTTTTAAATTATATTTAAATTGTTGTATTTGAATAAAAAAATCATTTTTGTATCTTAAAAGTTACTTCAATCCAAATTGTGATATTAAAGTTAACAAGAAAAGAAAATCTTCTGCCATCAAAAGTAATGCTGGATTACTTTATTTATAGAAATTTCCATAAATCAATCTTTAAAAATTAAACAGCAAAAAAATATTATAAATTATGTATTATGGAAAAATTTTTTATTCCAAATATAAGAAGATTTTACAAAATAAATAAGTTACAGGATTTTTGTAAAAGTCATTACGGTAGAGGTGCTGTTGCTTGGTTTATACAAAGAACAATATCAAATTCAAGTGACTGTATTGATAAGTTGCATACAGTTAGTACTTCAGTATAAATGATTTTTAACTTAACAGCTTATTTTTATCTGGGAACATTATTGTTTACTAGTATTCAATAGCTTTTGCTACAAAATTACTTAATTATTTCAAAATTTGATGAGGAAGTTAATTTTATTACCTTAACTGTATTTAAATTTACCTAAGAAAGTAATTAATTACTAAAGAAAATATCATATAAAAAATTTTTTTGTAAATTTCGAAAAAACCTTTCAGCTTAAAAAGGTTTTGTGATTTAAAAATTTGTCACACAATTATTACAAAGTATTTTTATCTTTAAATAGCAATTTGTTGTTTAAAATTCGTTCATTAATAATTGGATGCAAATCTAAATATTTGAGGTTCCATGTCATAATATCATTGCCGGTGGCTTGACGCAAGATTTATATGAAAATTATCGAGTTCCACCATCAAGTTGCGCAGGTTTATTTGGTGCACCAATGCCTATCGAGTTCATAACGCCTGAGCAAGATATTCGAGTAACCCTTATACTATGTAACCAAATGTAATTTTATAGTTTCTGATGAATCAAGTGGAATGAAACAAAGCGATTTTTTGATGGAAAGATCAAAAATAGTAAAACTTCTTCGTAACTTACATAAAATATATGCATTCTGAAAAAGACCTTTCGATATTTTAATTCACACTTCAGAGTTTAACATTTTTTTGACAAAAATTTTGTATCATAGAATTCTTTACTCAATTAATACTTCAGAAATTAGATAAAAAATGTTATTACTATAAAAATTGATATACCGATAGTTGGTGTTCACCCAATATTTACACACCCAATATTTACAAATTTAAAGTTTCTGGATATGTTTCATGGAATTGTAACTGCAAGCATATAGTTAAAAGATGTATTGAATTTTATAAAATTTATCTTTTCCAAAAAAAATGAATTTAAATTTTTGTTAGGCTCCTCAGACGACGAATAAATTAATTAAAGAAAAATACATGAATACTATAGTTCTTGCATCTGCATTACACGTCAAATGTCCACGATGTAGTGTTCGTTCAGGCTGGCATTCGTATGTTTTATAGAATTATATGAAACTATAGATTCTATATTTGTTTAGTTTTTTCAACACATGAAACTTACATCTTTTTTGATAATTAAAAATTTTATACTTCTTGCCTAAAATTTCAAAAATTCGTCATTGACTAAAATCATTTTGAATTATGCTTAAGGGGATTAATTGCAAAAAAACATTTAGCTTATGAATTACATTATTTGAATTAATTTCTCCATAAAGTAAATAATTTTATCAGTACTTTGCTCATTTATCTGCTTAGAAATAATAAATAAAAAGAGTATTTGATTATTTACAAATCGAATAATTGTATTTTTACAGCTCAGACAAAGTAACTGCTTGTGCTAGACAGTTAAGGACTCTTCGACACGGCTGGCCATTCATTGCAAAGTTCTGTGATGGAGAAGAAAAAGCAACAATAGATCTTGATAAGTTAATCTATTGCTGAATATATTTAATGCCAAATTTGGTATGGTATTTAGAAGTAAGATAAAATGCTTATTAAATTAATTTGTAGAATTATTATTATTATCAATATTATTATTATCTTTTTAATTTTCGATTATTAAATAATATTTTTAAGTAATGATGTTAAGTCATATTTCATGCAAATTAGTTTATAAGCATTTAAGAACGATTTTGAGTATTCAAAGTATTACAATCTTTTTTATTACTTTTATTAGATCTAAAAAAGCAATAAAACACACAAAAAAATGGTGAAGAAACTGCGCAGCACTTTACAAGCAGATGCAAGCTTACAATTGCCTTATGTTGATTAGCAATAAAATGGTGTAGTAAAAGTATATATTTGCCATTACTCAGTCGAAGAAACTTATATGCTTTATATTTGTGTATTTTAATTATTAGATTATTATTTCATTATTCTATTCCGTGAGAGATCCTCTACTTGCATAATTATGTATTATTAGAGAATCGCATGAAATATTGTAAAAGACGCTGGTAGACATTACCATCATTACAACCTAATATAGAATGCAAGATAAAATCTGGTATTGAAAATGCATCACATACTGAAACAGCGTCAAAAAGTAGCTCAGATTGCGCATCTTGCAAACGCTTCTCAAGCGTTTTGCCCCAATTTCTGTCCTTAGTATAACCATCTGGAACATTTAGTTCACACTAATTTAGTTACAATTTCAATTATAAAATGAAATATTGAGTTATTATAAAATGAAATATTAGTTACAATTTCAATTATAAAATGATATATTGAGCAAATGATAGAAATTTATGCAGGTAATAAAGCATGACTAAAGTAAAAATAGTTATAAAGTAATAAAATACGAACTTATGTAAAGTGTCCCAATGTGTTTACGGATAGAGTTGTAAGCATAAATAATAGCTAATCGGTGAAGAATTCCTCGGAGAGTAGTAGGAGCTTCTTGTAAAGATTCTTGAAAAACATTAAGTATAGCTAATTCAGCATAAGCATAAGTAAGCATTTTGTATTGCTCATTTTGAGATGCGAATTGAGCTTGGCGTCGATTGAATCCATCTTGTAATTTTACTTCAATATCCGCTTTGATCATATTTATCAGTGTATGAAGCAACCAAATATAAGCGTGCGATATATCTATGATTAATGAACAATGACCAGTATTCAACATTTATAAAATTATAAAAACTGAAAAAAAATTTTTTAATGTTTTTGTAATTAAGAGAAGAATGAGTTGAACTTACTCTCTGTCATTTTTATTAAAAAGAATACATTAAATATTATTAGCTTTTTTTTCAGGATTTGTTTTATGCTTTTTCCAAAAAATATTTACTTATGATACTGACCGATCCAGAAATTGGTGTTAAAATTTAAGTGACATAAAACAAGTTTTGACTAAAATTCATAAATGAAAAAAAGTTGGATGAGTTTTAAGCAATTCAGTATTACAAATCGAAAAGTACTGACTGTTAATAAATCTGCCCACTTCGAAACTTGCTAGTTCCTGAAGAATTAAAAGACTCCTTTGATACTAGATAAACATCATCAGCGATAAGAAAAATGAAACACAACCTTCCAATGGATCGTTCTTCCAAGTATCAAACTTTTCTGGTATAGCGTTTAGAAATTTCAAACTTCCAAACATGGAATTATCACAGCTCTGAGATTGTTTTTCATACGCAGAAATTAATCCACAAGTTACTTGTTGTAGCAAAATATTGTTATCACCTTCAAAAGTTCGCGAAGGATCGAATGAATCCCGAAGATCGTTTAAACGCGAACTTTTCAAAAATCTAAAACAAATACAAGCATTATGCCTGAATTTTATTTTCTATAAAAAGTTTCAATTATTAATCAAACTAATCCTAAACAACCTCTGCATTACTTTGAGCAGTTCTTCATCTCATATTTTAATTAACTGATAATTTTAATCTGATAAAACTTCTATTTAATAATTCCAACAATCTTACCATGACCAGTAGTTGTTATAAGCAGCAATTATTTTATTTTCTAGAACAAGCCTGCTCAAACTATCCATAAAAAGTACCAGAATTGAAACTAACCCATATGCACCGCAAGCCAAACGAGCATTATCTAATGCCTCAACTCCATTTTGAGTTGATACGACTTTGACTGCGCAACTTAGGATGTGAATTTCTTGAGATATAATATGCTACAATTTTATTTTAATTTTTTCAGAAGAAGATTACATTCATTGTAATCGTATTAAAATGAATAATATAATAGGTATATAATTTTTAGTGCATCAAATCAGTTCAAAGTATAAACACAATATCAACGCTTAATTCATAATGGAATAATTTTCTTGAATTTCAAAAAACATAAAATAATAAAATACTTTGATCAATTACAATTCCTAATGGTTTTAATTAGGATTAATTAATGCGCATTAGGATTAATTGGTTTTAATTAGAGCTACTGGTTTTAATTTATTACTGCCAAGATATATTTATGATACTGTATATCCAAAAATTCGCATAATATTATGCAATTGAGCAAATTACCTTATTTGGAACACTTTCTTTTTCTACTGAATCTGCGAAATATTTGTAGCAAAATGTGCTAAATCGGCGATAAAAAATTGTTTGAACAATGGTTATTGCTATAAATGGGAACAATCGTTGTTGTTGCAAAGGATATTCAATAACTGATTGTTCATCTAAAACTTGATAAACGTTGATTCTGAACTATTGCACTGATTGTAGAAATAAATACTCTGATTATGACTGTAATGATTATGACTTATTTAATAATTGTTCAAACATTGTACTGACTTATATTTGATTAATGATATTAATAAGTGATGATAATATAAAATATTATTAAGTAACTGACTAACGTAATTACTTATATTCAACTTTATCCCATCCTTGAATTAACCGAATAATTTCATATTTTTATTTGTTCTATATCTTATAACTTTAATTGATGACATATAACCTTTTACTATGAAAACTTAAGTATTTTAGATTACTATTTCATGCCATGAAGTCGCATTTTTTATAACTGCTGGTATTTTTTAAAATGATATAATACAATATGCAAGTAATAAATATTATATATTTTTGTTTGATTTCAAATGCCATCCATATTGCATAATATCATTAATCAAATATCACAAGTCAATATATTTTAATTTTTGGACTTTTCTTGTGATAAAATTCTCGCCTTTAACTTGTTTGATCAACTACTACTGATAAAAATGACTACAGAAAAAAAGAAAAGTGCTAGTAATAATAAGTATAAGAAAGAAATACTGTTACTGTAGAGACTTGTAATCAAAGCATTTTAATCGTAGCTATGCACTGCTTCTTATTTCAGTGCAGCTTCTAATAGATCTTGTAAGTTATGAGTGATATTAAAAACATAAAAATTTCAAAGTTTTTGAAGATTTCAAATCATCATGCTTGTAACGTCAACTTCAACAGTACAAGAAACCTTTACTATTTCCAACATGGAATTGTTTTCGAACTGCAGAGTAACGTGTAGCGATTACAGTCGCAAGCTGAGAAGCCATTACACCTTTACCTATGACCGCTACACGTCCAATTGATAAAATTACTAAAGTCGCCATGTATTGCTCATTGTCCTCCTGAAAAGTAAAAATTATCACTTTAACTGCTAAAAAAGATGAAATTATAGTATTTAAAAGTTTGAATATTTAATAGAAGTCGCAATATTTAGTAGAAGTGCTTTCTGACTTTGTTCACTTTGACAGAAGAATGATAAGTCCCATCTGCGTGCAGGTTCGCTCTTCGATTGAGCAGTGCATTTACATCGAACCGATGCTTATGGAATCTGATCCATCCATTATCAACGCCATTCCATTCGCCTACTTTTTCCCCCATATCACCTATTGTAATACCAGGCAATGCTTTCATAGTATTTAAATCACGAATTTGCATACAAAATGCGTGCAAACCAAAGCAC